AGCCCCGCCGTTTCTCTTCGATTTGCATCGATAACAATTCTTTGTCGCCCCATACTTGTCAATGTCCACAACCTTGTAGTATTCCATGTGCTAATACAGGTTCACTTCGGTACAGGCTGCCTCAAGAGCGAAGTAAGGCAATGGCACCCTCAGACTGTCGTGTATTCGTGCTTCAAAGATAGGAGCCGCCTACGGCGAATAGGGCGCCCACCTCGTGAGCCTTGGAGGATTTGGACAACTCAAGCACCTCGCGTCATTCCTCTGGGTGCTGATATTGACCCACTTGGAGACGCCAGATCATGGAAAGCTTCCCTGTACTGATCACCCTCCCACGATTCCCTGCCCGGCGGCGCCTCAAAGGTCTGCTCTCCTTCTCCGGTGCAGCTGGTTTGTCACATTTGCCGCAATGGTTTACCTCGCCTGCCTGGGTCACCACAGACGCACAGACGTGATGGAAGAGCTGCTTGCGCTTGCACAACTTGCATGTTTTCAGTTCTGAGTTTGGTTGGTTGGACATGATACACGCCGATGCAAACTTGAAACAAGCAAGACTGGATCATTCGTGTAAAGTGTGGCTGCTTCGAGAAGATGATCGCTGAATCTATCCCAGAGAATGTCTTTTTTTGAATTTTTTCAGGCTCACGACACTTTCTGCTAAGGATTTCTCACATTCTCTTAAAAGTTTTCGCAGCACAACAGAGTGAAAATATTTTACACAGCATAACAGTGAAAAATCCTGATGAGAAAAGAAGGGGCAAATGTATATAAGAAAAAGACACTCAACCCTTATTGAAATGAAGTGTGCGAGGCTGAAAGGTGTTTTAGCAAGCTGCAGGATATACTTCTTTATTGACTGAGTGAAAAAGAAACTTCCTTCACCCGCATGCAACGACAAGTCATCATGGTGAGAGGCTTCGAATCTATTGCTGCTTGAATGTGGATGAGAATTTAATCGTCTAATGTATCCATGTAGATAGACTAAGACCTTTTCTTAGTCTCTGACTTTGAAAGAAAGTTTTGAATTCCGCTTCTCTTACATGGCTGCATGACAGAGAAAGCTGTCTAGGAATGAAGATGTCTTTAGAATACATTGCAAAAGATGAATACACCTTTTCTGCTCTCTTATTCGTTGTTTCAAGCATGAGAGCCGTATGTACGAGGATTCAGAGAGGAAGTATGGTTTACAATGCTGCACCATCAGTTTGCAAATGAGGTGCTTTCATGCACTCCAATCTTGCAAATATGCTAGAAACATTCAAGTATTTGCAGTTCAGATCCTCAAAAGCAACATCTTCACATTGGTTCTGCTTGAGCATGCATTCAAAATGCTCAAGGATCAACATGCTCCACGTAGCTGCGGCGACATGGAAAGTCTGTTTCAACCACAGGATGAGAATCCTACAGCAATCAATGTGGCTTACTAGAGCTACAAGCATACATTGTGCATAATTAGGTTTATTTGCAACTTTTTGATGTATCTCTGCTATGCAGGCACAACGAAGAAACCAATGTGAGGCTTATTGTGCTGACCATTGCGCATGTATTTGATGCTACTTGCGGTTGTCATTGTAATTAGATTGTTGCAAAGAATGATACCTCATGAATGTATAAAGATTTCTGCAATCAGATCACTACCACTTGTGATGTCGATCCCAAGCTTACAGTGAGTCGGAATGGTCTACAGGGGAAGTGATGTTTTCATCATCATTCAACCCCTGCATGCATTCTGCATTTATGTGAAATGAAAGAAGATACAGAAATGCTCTTTAGCATGGCCTCGAATGCAAGACTGAGATCACTTTATTTCACAATAGAACAAATAATACATGTGTGCATACTGTGTTGACGGTTCAAATGTCCGACATCACAGCTAGATGAACGCTCAAAACTAATCCCACGCATCAAGAAATCAACACACTCTGCAAATCTCAGAAGTGGAGACTCTCGACGGTGTTCAAGGCTTAAGATGTCTTGATTGCCTCTGGCGGCATCAGTGTTTACATGCAATCAAACATCCTCACTGCAGTAGGCGAAATGCATGCAGAAATCTTGTGAAACAATCTATGCAATGCTTGATGTCTAATATAACAAGTGAGCTTGACTAATTACGTGGATCTGCAACATGATGCAATCTCCATCAAACAAATCTTCAAGGCATCGCATGTGGAAAATATGCAATTCAAAAATCATTCATCGCAGGTAAGTATCTTATGATTATTCTGCGCTGCCATAAGGTCGGTGTCAAGTCAAAATGACAAGCGATCTCCTACACTGGATTCAAACCTCATGTTTTCATCATCTTGTTCTTCATAATAACCTTTTGAACCATGGATCTCACAACGCCATTGCTGCACACTCTGTTGTCACCGAACGCATCACCACGAACCTAGCGGTCTCAGGTCTCAAACTGTGCTGACTAGAGAGCTTCAAACCTAACAAAGCCTTGCATGCTGAGATCTGATGCTGGCTACAGCAGCGGATGGTCTTACAGCGGCATCGTTGGAGGAGCAGCTTTGGTGCTACGTGCCGGCGTGTAGGGGAGACATGAGTCGGGCGTGTACGAGGTTGAAAACATTTCAACCCTCTGAAATGAAAGTTAAAATACATGTAAAGGCCTAGCAGAAATGATAACTAAACTGCACTACTGGTACTCTTTGGAGGTATCTCTTGCTGCCGTTGAAAACTTGTTTGAATTCACACGCCACCCCAAAAAAAACTTTCTCGAAAAGAAGAGTGGAAATTAACGAAAGGGCTAAAAGTGAACGGCATGGATCTCCGATACAGCAGGTTGCGAACGCTCTCATCATACTGTAGTACCATGCTTAGGTACTGAGCTGTTTGAACGATACAAACCTCTTGCTCGCAGCTTCCACCGGTCCCCTTGCGCTCTCCCTACGCGCCGCAGGGCAGCATGTGCCTCTGACAAGGCCCGGCTGCCTCTGACCAGGCCCGGCTCAGTGCCTCTGACAAGGCCCCGCTGCCTCTGACAAGGCCCGGCTGCCTCTGACAAGGCCCGGCTGCCTCCGGCTCCTAAACCCTAAACCCTAAACCCTAACTTGCCCTAGTAACGGTTGAGTTTATTAGAATGCTAGGAAGGATCTCAAGGTTTGGTTCGGCCCGACTTGGCTGGCCCCTATGGCAGCCGTGCTTCTGCTCTGCTCCCTCCTCTGTTATACTTCAATGGTCTTCTCCATCCTCAGCCAGTGGAGTTGCCTCCGCCGGCCTTGCGGCATGGGTCGTCCGTACTTAACTTGTCACAGTATTGCTTCCCCGGCCTCGGCACTCGTTGGTGCTCCGGCCGGCCTTCGGCCAGTGAGTGGATGATGGTGACTCACGTCCCTTCCCCCAGGCCTCGGTCACGACCGGGCCCGAAAGCCCGGCCGGTCGCCGCCCGGGCCCTCCTCCCCCCCCGCCCCCCCCTCCCCTCCCCCACCGGCTTACCTGCCTTCAATAGTACCTTCGTTGCTTGCCCCATGTCCACCTCATTTATTTCTTCCTCCTTCCCGCCTTGGGGCCCACAGCTCCGCTCCGCCTCTTGTCCACCTCTAAGACTCAACCTCGCCCTCCTCAGCTTCCATGTCGACTTCTTCCTTCAGCATCAGCCGCAGTCGGTCTCGCTTGTCGACCTTGCCCGTGCATTTCAGGCCTTGGTTTTCAGCAAATTTACTGATCGCAAGAAACAAGAGGCTCACAGATCGACTCTCGATGTCATCGCTCTCAGCCTCCTGCTCACTGACAAGCGCATCAGTCGCTGCTGCCCTTGGAGAGAAGGCGCTGCCCCTCCTCGCTGCCTTGTTCCCTTGCACCCGTGTCCAGCGCTGCTCGCCGAGGTAAGCTCTGAGCTTTTCTTTCAACATGTTGCGCTTCGATCCCAACGTCGGCGTGGCTGCCCAAGCTCCGAGCGTTGGCATGAACTCCACGTTGCCCGGCGAGTAGAAGGTGTCATGCAGCTTCCCGACACTCTTGTCTAGCTCGGCCAGCGAGATCGGCTTGCCAGCAAGTAGATCCTCCTCTGACGTCTCCAGGAGCATCGTCGAGAGGTCGACCAAGACCTGCTGGTCGACTGGTCCTGACGGCGAGGCCGCCTCCAGAGTAATCCTGTCGATGTCGCTGAGCTCCAGCCATCCAGCGCCTTGCTGCTGCCCTTGGGGGTCCTGAGCTTGCTCCTCGCTCTCCTCTTCATCCTGAGAGCTCCACTTGAAACCCACAGCTTCCGGGGAGTCCAGCTTGACTTCCAGGACCCCTTCCAAGGCAGACGGTAGAAGGGGATGTCTTCCATCAGACGTCGAGCCTCTGCCTTGGTCGCCAGGGAGAGAGCTATCAGGCTCCCATCCCAGCTCAGCGTGTCTCGATCTTCTTGAACCTCAATGCTGGCAAGCTTGAGGTTCATTCTTCTTGCTAATTCCAACATGGCTCGCTTGACTCGCGTGGTCGATGTGTTACCTCCTCCGCACAGTGCTTCCATCTCCTTCCTCGAGAAGCGGCCTGTGCTCATGCTTGACTTCGACTTGATCTGCACCCTGAAACTGCCGCTTGGAGCCTGCTCCCTGTCGCGAAGTGCCTTCCTCTGCTTGGCAATCTTTCCTCTCGGCACGAAGGTGTCGGCTGTGAGCTCGACTGCAAACGAGCCACATGACAGCTGATCCTAGGAATAGGAAAGAGATGTTGATGCGTCCAGACAGGGAGCTGTGGGAAGCGGCTGAACGAGCTGAAATTCACAAGATGGAGGAACGCAAGGTTTGGACCATAGTTTCAAGGGATTCTGAAGAAACACGAGGAAAAATCATAGCACGCGGCATGTGGGTGTATACTACTAAGAAAGATTGTAAGAACTCGGATAAGTTCTTGGAGACGGCGAGAAGTTCAGGGTATTGCGTCTCATCGATGGACGAAGCTCAGCGAGATGGAAGTGGGTTTCGACATAGGTCTGGAATTAAGGAATCGACGAGCCTGAGGGTCAGGCGGAGAAGAGGGGGTTAGGAGGACACGTGTCCACTGCGCGCTGTGCATTGTACTGGGTTGCAAGGGACTGAAGGGAAGGTGACTGCTGTGAATAAAGGAAGTGTTGGTGGTGTTGTGTGGTTCTTCTGAGAGTTCTATCACCATCAGTGAAGGTGATAGAGACTGCACAGCTGTGTATCGTTGAGGTGAATAAGGTTGGTGTAAGGATCTCAGGTGTACTGAGAATTAGTCTTTGGTGGATCTTGGGTTAAATAGATTCTGGCCAGTGAGGTGGAGGTTGATTCGATTACAAAGAGAAAATTTTCTCTTTGTTCTCAGTTCTCATTTTTTACTGTTGTTGCGCAACTGTGATTTACCGTACGGTCTGAACTGGAACAAAGAGTAAGTTCGGTTCATTGTTGCTATTTGAGTCGGTGATTCGATTGTTTGGAATCGTTGTTTGGAAGTTGGCCTCGATTTTTTTTGCATTTTTTACGCTTGTGCTTGGAAGCTCAGTTTGGAAGGTCGGAGTCGATTCTTGTGTGGAACGTTGCTACTGATTTTTCGACATTGCTTTTACCATGGGAGGAGGAAAATTGGACCTCAGTGAAGAATTGATCAAGACTCATTGGCCAATACTTTCGATCCTATCTGAAGCCATTATTTCCTGTTCCATGGGCTATGTCAGGAGGATTCAAGTCCAAGTTGGCTCCGATCAAAGCTCTGGCGTATATGATATGGGAAGTCAGAAAGCGCAGTGGGAATCTCAATGCCACTCCGGATAAAACGCGGATGGAGCTTCTGACGCTGGCAAAGTCGAAATTGCCTGACATATCTACCTTCCACAGCGTTATGGTCCAGATGAAGATCCTGCTTAACAAGTTGGAAGATGTAGCGGGAGAGGAATCAGTGAAAGCCTTGGAAATGATTTTGGTGGAGGAGCTGATCAAGCAATGTTATGTTTCAGATTGTGTTGATATTCGAGATGTCGCGCGCTTGAATAAGCGGTCCAAGTTGTCAACCGAATTGACTTGGGAGGAGGTGTACTCTTGGGCTGTGAATTTGCATGATGAACAGGTATTTTTTACTGCTGGGGGTGAGAAAACACAGTCGGGCACTGCGTCAGTTAATGTGGCAGCCTCGGAGGTGCAAGCTACGGTTAGTCAACCGAATGCAGACAAGGCGTCTGAAAGTGGAGGACAGGGTGGTAAGGAAAAGGGAGACTCGAGAGGCAGCAATGAGTCGCCGCCTGTGGATAATGCATCTGGCAGTCAGGAGGATGGAAGCACGTTGGACGCGAGGGAGAGTACGCGAGGCCGAGGTGAGCATCCGGGTCAGGGAATGCGGCGCAGGGGCGCCTACCATGTTGATGGGTCTCGTGGCGGATACGGTCGTGGAGGCTCCGCTGGTGCTGGATCGAATGATTTTCGAAATCACCAAGGAAGAGTCGGTGGTTTTCAAGGGAATAATTTTCGGGGAAGAGGCTCAGGATTTCGAGGTCATCATCAGCAGCGGGGGAAGCCGTATGATCGTCCGGCTGGTAGAGGGATGCGCGGACGAGGTAGAGGGGAGCATTGGACGACGCATAACTACAATCCACGCAGAGGCGAGTCTGATGGTTTCTCAAGAGGTGATCGTTCGGGAGGATATCATGAGCGGCGAAACAATGTGCATGAATTTTCTCCTCAGGCTCTCGGCGAGGCTGTACTGCGGTTGGCCAGGGAAATCCAGGGGGGAAGGAGGTCAGGTGCAGACGGTGAGCAGCCGGTTGGACCATGGCAGGAGACGTTTGAGCCTAACCATCGGGGACGTGGCCGTAGTCCGGTGTCGGACAATCCTTTTGAGAGGACGGTACAGCAAAATGTTTCAGAAAGCAATGCTCAGGCAGGTCGCCGTCAGGCGGAATGGCGATCCTTCTTTGCGTTTCAGTTTGGCATTGATTCAACGATGTCGATGACTGATATTCAAGGAATGGCAATGCAGAGTATGGTGGGAGACGGTGACGGAAGGGTTGTCAATTTTTTGCTTGATTCGGGTGCAAATGTTACCATGGTTGGGGACGAATCCCTCCTCTCAGACGTACAATCGGGAGACGATTTCTTTGTCATGACGGCAGGAGGAAAGATTAATTGTACCAAGTATGGCAAGCTAAATTTGCAAATTGTCGGTGCAGATGGTGAGTCGGACAATATAGTATTGGAGAATGTTCGAGTTTGTCCTGTCCTTCCTGTACCACTTGTGAGTCTGGATGATTTTCTGGGATCCAAGTATTACATTGTTGGACGGGGGTCGAAGAACACGGTCAAATCCTATGTGGCTTCGGAGGATGGCAAGATCAGGATTCCTCTGATTCAGCGGGACAAGTTGTATCTGTTGACAACCAGAGGTCCGATGCATGATTCTGTGGCAGGTGATGTGCCAATCTTTTGTGTTTCAGCGGAGGCTGGAACAGTCTGTTTGACTAAAGCACATGTCACTCCTGGACCTTCTTTCGATGGGAAGTCAACACAGAGTCTATCTGATGCGGTTCTGTGGCACATGAAAACGGGGCACCCTGATTGTCGAGTACAAAAGTTGCTTGCGGATACGGTCAAATACATCACATTCAATAGGCGGTTGATTCATTCTCCGTGTCACGTGTGTAGGATTTCGAAATTTGTGTCACGCCCTGTTCACAAACAAACCTCATTTCGACAGGAACGTGCTGGAGATGTAAATGCTCTGTGGTATGTAGACTTGAAAGATATGATTGCAGTCCCTGAACCATCGGGTTATCGTTACTTTCTTATAGTTGTCGACGCTTTTTCCGGATACCTGATTGTGCGTCCCATGAAGTCCAAGAGTCAAACGAGTGATATTCTGATGGAGTTACTTCGACAGGAGGAGAAAAGTGTCAAGAGAAACGGAGTTCAACGCATCATATCTGATAACGGCAGTGAGTTTTCTTCTCCAGAGTTGGAGGCATTCGTTCGTGAGACGGGTTTGAAGTGGGATCGGATTCCTGATTACAGTCAAGTTTACAATTCGCTGGCTGAGAGAGGAATTCGAGCAGTCAGTACTATCCACAGAACTTTGCTCAAACAGAGTGCTTTGCCTATCGAGAAATGGGAATTTTCTGTTATGCAGGCTACGTACCTGTACAATGCTCTCCCGAGTTTCAGGAATTTCGGCAATCTTTCTCCGTATACAATCTATAATGGAGATGTTTTCGACTTCAAATCTCTCAAGACCTTTGGGTGTATGACATTCTTCAAGAATAATGTACGCAGTTCGAAGATTGAAGATCCAGCTAAACAGGGCATTATGCTCGGAAATGCAAACGCTTTTCCTGGGCATACCATTGGCTACTTGGTATGGTGTGTTGACGACAACAAAATCTATCACACGAATAATCTGACCTGTGATGAATTCTTCTTTCCATTTCGACGTGCGGGACGGATGAATTGGCAAGAGGATCCTGAAGTGGTGGTAAAGCACGATATTGACATGGAGGATGATTCGCCTGTCAAGGGTGTTGAAGATGAACGGTCAGAGGCAGTGAATGCTCGGACTAGTGGTCGTCGAAAGAGAACACGGTTGGAGGATCATTCACTGGAGTCGGATGATGAGGGAGTAAGGGCTGCTGAGATGGTGTGCCAGGACAGCGATGAAGACTATGTGCCTACAGTGATGGTTGACGGTGGCCGAGAGGATGCGGATCATACGGATACAGAGGCAGCGTCGTCGACCAAAACATGTCGTACCAGACGAGACTTTCGTAAGCAGAGACGGGATGCCGAAAACCGCTTCATCAACAGGCGGGCTGAAGTTGTAATGGATGATGGGAAGGTTCGAACGGGGACGATTACTCAAGTTGTCTTCAAAGATGATACATTCTTGGTGCGTGTTACGTTTGACGACAAGTACTGGATATTAATCCATCCGGACAGTGAGAACGTACGGATTTTGTCTATGGGGAAGGAAGTTACCATGATTGCTATGTCTGAGGCAGAGACATCTGAGTTGTTGCCTGGGGATGAGCTACAATCAGGAGTTTTGCCGAAGAATGTCTTCGAGTTGACAGGGTGTAACGATTATTACTTTCGAGCGTTTCCTCAAAAGGGGGATAACATCCTTTCGCAGCTGGTGGAAAAGACAGTTCGAGGAAATCCCGATGTCTTTCTTATGCACAGGAAGTCTCCTCTGTCATCTCAGCTGGTACCTGGAAAGGTGCTCAACGGCGATGGAAAAGAGGTACTGTTCGTATTGGACGAGGGTAATCGTTCGACTACTTCTCAGCACTCTGCACGATGGATACCATTGAGACGGGAACGGTGGAATGATGTGGTCCCACTCATGGAGCCAGGGGATGACATTGATGTTGCTCGTGATCCAGACTGTATTGATCTTGGTCCAAGTGAGTTGACACAATGTTTTCCAGACTCTCGTATGCTTGTCACCAACATGGCGCTAGTTGTTCCTGTATGGGAAGCTGTCAAACTCTCTGCAGCATTTCTGTCGCGAGCTCCGCCATCAGTACTGTGACAAGACTCGAGTTCGACGGCAGATCCTCGCAATCGAAGGGAGATGTTGTTGCACAAGGATAGAGAATTGTGGGAGGCAGCTGAACGAGCTGAGATTCAGAAGATGGAAGAAAGGCGAGTTTGGGAAGTGGTCCCGAGGTCTGATGAAACACGAGGCAAAATACTTGCGAGAGCGATGTGGGTTTATTCCTCAAAGAAAGATTTACATGGCAACATTCTGAAGAGAAAAGCAAGGTTGGTTGTGATGGGCAATCTTTTACCCACGTCCGAGGAGTTGTTTGCGCCGACGACGTCGATGGATAACATTCGGTTGTTACTCAGCATAGCGGCAGGAAATGGATGGATTATCGCCTTCCGAGATATCGCGGCCGCGTTCCTATACAGTGAATTGAACGAACCGATGTTCATGATACCGCCTGACATCATGGCTTTGCCTCCGAATGTTTTGCTCAAAGTAACCAAAGCGATATATGGGACGCGAACGGCTCCGCGACGATGGTGGGAAAAGCTGTCTCGAGAATTCCTGCGTCTGGGCGCGGAACCTGTTGGCCATGATGAAATCATTTACAGATATGAACACAACGGCTCAAGAATTCTCATCACGACATGGGTGGATGATCTTCTTCTGGTATGTGAGAATCAAGAAGTCTGTAATTATTTTTTGGACTGCTTGAGCAAGGTATTCGACTTTTCTGGAAGTGAAGCTACAGGTACATTCCTGGGTATTCGTGTTCACCAAGATTTGACGAAAGGAACTATTACCTTGAGTCAGAAGCATTTTATTGAACAGCTGGTTGAGAAATTTGGAATAGCTCTTCGTTCAGTGTTTACTATCTTGCCTGGAGTGTACATGCGGAGTTATCATCTAGAGGGAGAATTGTTGGATAAGTTCTCGGTGAGACAATATCAGGCTCTTCTTGGAACAATCTTGTACGTTGCTAATGGGACAAGAGCTGACATTTCCTTCGCGGTCAGTCTCTTAAGCAGATTTGCACGGGCACCCAGAGTGCGTGACTGGGATGCATTGGTTCACTTGGCGAGGTATCTGTACACGACGAGAGATATTTGTATTGTTTACCATCAGAGAGGTGTATCTGTTAATCAGGAGGTGTTTCACAATGAACTCGTAGCTGCGAGTGATAGTCTTGACGCGACGAAGTCAGTCCGGATGGGCTATCGTAATGAACGGAGGAGTTATTTCATATGGTTCGAAAGCGCAGAAAGTCATATCACTTTCATCGTCAGAGGCAGAAATCTATGCGACATCGGTAGTCGCCAAGCATATCAAGATGTATCGAAGCTTACTTCAACAGTTAGGGTTTTGCCAGCAACGTCCGACGATGCTCCTGCTGGATAATGAGCCGTGTATTCGTTTGTTGACCGAGAAACGAGCATATTCTAGACTGAAGCACATCGACTTACGTGCTAAGTTTGCTGTTCTCATGGTGGATGAGGGAGAATTACTTCCTGTGAAAGTTTCTACTAAGTTTCAGCCTGCGGACCTGTTCACGAAAATTCTGCCGTTTACGAGGTGGAAAGCAATTGGTTCGTTTCTATTTGGAGAAGATTTCAACGCTCAAGGGGTATGCTACAGTGATGACTCTCATCCTAATGAGAACGATGGCATTCTGTGAGCATCTTGACATGTAGTACGCGAAGGGTGGAGTTCATGCTGGTTGAGTGGAGTGAAGTCAGCCATGGGAGGCGCAGTTGCAGGACATGGGGGGAAAGATTTTCTACAGAATCAACGCAGTATGATTTCTGTCGCAACTGTGTGCTGACTGTAGTTGTAGAGACTGCCTGGAGACAGCGCTTTGGGAGCAACTTTGAACTTCAGTGGGATTCATCCCAGCTTGAATACAATGGGGTTCATCGTACAGCTGGTATCAACGAGCAATCGCCTACACCAATCTCTGATTCAGGGAGGGAGAACCTTGGCAGGAAGGTTTGATATTGAGAAGTAGAATCAGATGATTGGCGTGGCGTGGTATCAAGCTTCTTCTCCCGAAGACTGTTCAAGGAACTCTAGGTCAAGTCAAGCAGGTTAGGATGTGAAGCCTTCCATCATGATCGCAAGATACAAGACCTATGATCGCAAGAATTGAAATGAGAATTGAAATTGATGAAAAATCGGCCGTTGAGAAATTGAGAAAATGAAAATGAAGAGATGATTGATGGGAAAGGCAAATGAAAGAAGATCATATGGTCAATATGAGAATTGAAATGAACATGCATGCAAATGAAATCTCAAGAGCTCTCAGGTGAAATGGCGCCAAATCAATCTTTCATACCGCGGTTAGATAGCGATTTGTTAGAAGGGCCCGTAGAGCAGATAGTTAGGACAAACACATTGGTCATGAATGGTGGACATCATTGGGTGGAAGATTTGGATTGAGAAAGTCAGATGGGTGACAATTGAAATCGATGGGATTTGAAGCACAATGATGGGATGGAAGACTAGATGTTCAGAAAGGTGTCTGGGGAGCCTGACTGATCAGAGGGGAAGCCTGACGAACAAGTGCAGTGCGGCACAGTCGAGTTCAGGTGGTGGAGGAGTGTTGATGGTACTGACGAGGTTTCTATGAAGGAGAGTGTGTAGGTAAAAGATGGATGGAGAAGGATCTGGGAGCCTGAGCAAGAAGCAGCTTGGAGCATGGAGGAGGAGATTGCGATTCAGGAGGATGCAGGGTGCAGCTAGCATGGAGGATGCAGGAAACTTGATGGAGGAAGCAGGGAGCTTGATGGAGGAGATTGGGATCCAGGAAAGAGCAGGCAGCTTGGAGGAGGAGAGCGCGGTGGTGCAGCTTGGAGGAGGAGCAGGGAGATGTTTAAAAAGGGGGTTCCCGGAGGATGAAGGAGGAAGTGGAAAAGGAAGCTGAGAATCTCGCTTAACTTCGTCAGGGAGGGTGTAAGAACTCGGATAAGTTCTTGGAGACGGCGAGAAGTTCAGGGTATTGCGTCTCATCGATGGACGAAGCTCAGCGAGATGGAAGTGGGTTTCGACATAGGTCTGGAATTAAGGAATCGACGAGCCTGAGGGTCAGGCGGAGAAGAGGGGGTTAGGAGGACACGTGTCCACTGCGCGCTGTGCATTGTACTGGGTGCAAGGGACTGAAGGGAAGGTGACTGCTGTGAATAAAGGAAGTGTTGGTGGTGTTGTGTGGTTCTTCTGAGAGTTCTATCACCATCAGTGAAGGTGATAGAGACTGCACAGCTGTGTATCGTTGAGGTGAATAAGGTTGGTGTAAGGATCTCAGGTGTACTGAGAATTAGTCTTTGGTGGATCTTGGGTTAAATAGATTCTGGCCAGTGAGGTGGAGGTTGATTCGATTAAAGATCTACAAGGAAAAATTCTGAAATACAAAGCGAGGTGGTTCTTCTGAGAGTTCTATCACCATCAGTGAACTTGTGCCTTCTGCTGCTCACCCCTCATCTGCAGGTGTGTCCGCCAGCCGAAATCGGCTAGCACTTCGATTAACCGTCTGAAACGGTCCGGTTTGCCTTTTCTTTTCAGTCAGAGGTACAAGGACTAGGTGTGTCCGGTGCGCTACTGTCGGTATTTTTGCTGGTACAAATTTCACCGACTGTTTGTTAAATTTCACTACAACCGTTTTCAACGGTAAACGTACAGACAGTAGCCTACCGCCGACAGTTCTTTAATCGAATCAACCTCCACCTCACTGGCCAGAATCTATTTAACCCAAGATCCACCAAAGACTAACTCTCAGTACACCTGAGATCCTTACACCAACCTTATTCACCTCAACGATACACAGCTGTGCCGCGTCTCTCAGCGAGCGTGTGAGGGTCCATGTGAGCGATTGAGTGAGTGAGAGAAACTGAGAGGCAGAGGCAGAGGCAGAGGCAGATGGGAATACAGGCAACCTTCACTTCAAACAAGCCTTCTCGTCAAGCCTAAGTTTGCTGTTTGCCAGCAGGGGGGAAAGTGCGTCTTGGGTGCCATGTCGCTCGTATCGCCTCTTGGAATCCTTTGGTTGAGCTCAATCATCATTTCGAGCTCAGAGGTAGGCATAATGCTAGATAAAAGCTTTTTGAACTTGTGTTGTTACTGCAGGGATTGTGTTGCTTTCAGTGGACTCGGTTCGATCGCGAGCAGAGTGCTGTTTGTCAGCGCTCTTGTCTTCGGATACGGGGAGGAAATGATGGCGGAGATGAGAAGAACGCTTCTGTTCAAGAGGAAGACCCACACATGTTGAATGTCTGGGACATAGCCATTGACGCTGCAGATAAGAATGGCAAAAAATTAAGAGACCAATTCGCAAAAGCCGTTATGCAGGGGAGCTCCAACATTCTTGAGCATCTGACAAAGCAGGACGAAGGGACCGAGGGAGTGCAATCAGAAATCGAGGGAGAACAACGAGAGAGGAAAAATGAAGAGATCGGAGATGTACAACAAGATATCAAAGTTGTACAAGGAAAGATCGAAGGTGTACAAGGAAAGATCGAAGGTGTACAACAAGAGATCACAGATGTGTTGAGAAGGATGCAAGATCAAAATGACCAAATGCTGAAGGAGGTCCACATGCAGCTTGTGCAGCAGCTTGTAGCGTACCAGCAGCAGCTTGTAGAGGACAAGAAGCAGCTTGTAGAGGACAAGAAGCAGCTTGTAGCGTACCAGCAGCACCTTATAGACAGGGAGAAGCTGCTTTTAGACAAGGATAAGCTGGTTGAGGGGCTTATTCCACATCCTGTGCAACTTAGAGACAGTATGTCAAGACCTGAAGGTGAAACAGAATTGAATGTGGCTATCATGGGTACTAACAGGACTTATGCTAGTTGGCATGCTAAGTTTCTTGAAAGAGCTCTGGACTACCGCATGCGCAGGAAAGGTTTTACGGGCTAATGAATACGTCAGCTTCTCCGCATGCTTAGGAGGCCACGAGACACTTGGAAACAAGCTCTTCATACGAGAGTGCTACTTCGAGATGAGGCGGAAAATTGCAGAGGATTTCAAGTTGGACCCAGAGACGCTAGAGGGCATGGACACCAATCAAGGATGCCATCAAGTGATCCTCACAGGTACTCCAGGGATCGGGAAGTCCTGCTTCGCATACTTCTTACTTCTTCAGCTCCTCCGGCCTGGTGAGGAAGTAGTGTATCAGATAGGGAGTGAATATTGGTACTTTGATGGAGAAGCATGGAACCTGTTCATGGATGGATCCGTAGCGCAACGCTTTCTCCAAATGTTTAGGCGCTGGTATATCTGTGATCTGTACAAAAACCAGGGGAGCTATTCAATGTCACGAACCGCCAAAACAATCATAATCTCTTCACCGAAGTATGGGATGTTCAAGGAAATTGTGAATACTGGATCGGCGAAGAGATATTTCTTGCCGTTGTGGTCAGACGACCGAGATGTCACTCTTCATCATGATGCAATGGGGGCGTATTGACTCCGATGAAGTGATGAAGATCGTAGAGGATTGGGGCAATGTGCCGAGAAATATCGTCGTGAACCTTTAGAGACACTTGAGCAGGCTGTTGAA